AACCAGGGTCAACATACAATAAGCCAGGTTAGCCACACAGTAACCAATGCCAGCAGTCCAATAAGCCAGATTTAACCAAAGAAGAACAACACCAGTCCAATAAGCCAGGTTATGCCAAACAGTAACCAGGGCCAGCAGTCCAGTAAGCCAGGTTACTCCATGGATGGCAGGTTGGTAGCCATTGTTTTTTCTACAATCCTGATTACTCTCTGAAGTCTATGACTGTCTTGTTGGGTTGCAGAACCAAACCAGACAGTTATAGATATATAGTTATAGTTAATATGTATGTATGTATGTATGTATGTATGTATGTATGTATGCATGCAGTTACATATATTGATGAGGGATGCAAAATTCAAATGGAACAATTTGACTAGCCTTCCTTGTCTCCTAATTTTGTAGTCGGGAATTATAGCTCTGTAGGTATGCAGAAGGCAGTTGGGATGCCTTGCTTGAGGACATAACTGGGGTCTGTGTTTTCTCTACTCAAGGTGCTCTAGTACTGGGGGAACCGATCACAGCCAGCCTGGGGACCGATGGCACTCATTACTGGAACAAGAATTGGGCGAAGGCTGCAGCATTTGTGACCTCACCACCCTTGAGTCTGGATCCTACCACGCCTGATCATCTGACCTCACTTTTAGCCTGGTAAGAAAAATCCAGATGCTGGCAAACTACAGGTATCAACCATCATGCTGGAGATGTTATGGAAATATTAAAAGAGCAGTTGGGAACTAGGTTTACTGTTGCAAAGTGATGTGTAACTCACTTTGAGAGGCAGTACGGTAGCTGTCGTGACTCTGGGTACTCTGGGTGTCATGGGTACTGTTCTGGCCCGCTGGTGGCTAGTGGAGCTGGCAGCAGAGTCAGACAGCGACGATGTTGGGGAGGAACCTGGGCCAGTCCTGGAGGTTGAGGAAGGCTTGGATGAGGGCTCTGCATCAGAGGGAGAGATAGGGCCAGGGTAGCCTGGCAGTCATGAGCTGACTTCAGAGTTGGACAGCAGTGAGGCAGAGGAGCAGCTGGAGACTGTTCCCAGCCTGCACATGCGCAAGCTGCCAAAAGAAAAGAACAATTATGACTAAGGGTCGATGTGGGAGTAAAGCCACAGGTGGATGGTGAATGGCGCCTCCCAAAGGGATTAAAAGAGCAAAAGGGGAGGGGGATTTTGGAAGAAATTATTCGTTTGTAGTGTGAAGCTCTGTCTGTGCATCTCAGAGACTCTATGAGCTGAGTCCTTCCTTGTCAGCACTGTGTTTGGAAATATTACTTGGCAGCTCTCCAAGCTAGATAAGGTCTGTGCTCCTAATGACACCCTTGAAAGACTGTTGGCCAGGCCTTTGGCTGAAAGTGAATGCAAGAAATTCACCTTCGTTTAATAAAAGGGGTTTTGCCGGGACAAAGAGTCTGCTTAGTGCTTTGGGGGGAAGCCTAGGTCAGAACAGTTAAGCAGGAAGAGACGGAAGTCCCAGGCAACCTTTGTGTGTGTGTGTGTGTGCTTATGGCATACTAAAGAAGAGGAAGCCAACCTATTTTCCAAAAGAAGGCTGGACAAGAAACAATGGATGTAATTTAATCCAGGAGAGACGCATCCGAGAAGTAAGGAGAAACTTCTGTTAGAACAGTTAGGGGCTCCATCGCTGGAAGCTTTTAAGAAGCGACTGGATAGCCACTTGTCTGGAATGGTAGAGGGTCTTCTGCCTCTCCCATTGAAAGCAATCCCTCCATTGAGCCTGAATGTCTTATTCACTGTTGTTGTGTCTGTGTCCTTTCTTTCAGTGGAGACCTACAGGTCACTGGAAGCGGCCACTGTACTTACAGCACAGCCCAAAAAGCTCTTGGCAAGGAAAACTTCACTCTCATCCCTGAAGGGGTTAATGGAATTGAAGAAAGAATGACGGTGGTCTGGAATAAATGTGTTGTGAGTGGAATATATAAAGGAAAAATGGAAGGGGAGGGGAGAAACTAAAAGTGGAACAAAAGAAAGGTGCAATGTCAGTCCTGTCCCAGCTTGGGACATTGAGGAAAGGAAGACCCTGGATTCCATTTGCGGTGAAAGGTATACTTTTACTAAAGCCAAGCAGTTACAGCGTAGATATGAAAATTCCCGCATAAAGTTGGTATTTTTCCCCTTCTCCCAGGCCTTCTTGCTAGTGTCCAATAAAGTTCAAATTAGTTCTTTTTGTAACAGTTCTAAAATTTGGCACTTCTTTGATGGGCATTCACATTCCGTTCCCACGCCGGTGTCCTTGGGATCATTCAGCTGTTGTCTCTTGTTGGCACTTCTAGTTCCTGTCATCCCCCCTTCCCTGTATCCTCCTTTCCCCTGTAAGTTTGAACAGCCTCTAAACACGTTGTTGTAAGTCGAGGACTATTTGGATTTCTTTTTCCAAAACACCATAACTTTAGGATATTGTAAAAGGAAACGTGTTAATGAAGGGTTATTCTAATTGTGTCTCCAACAATATCATTCCTTTCCTTCTCTACAAATAGAGTGGGGGCCTTTAGACCGGGGCGGGCTTCAAAAATTTTAGCAAAGAGTTCCCTGCCCGGTTGCTGGGTGGGCCTAGTCGGCCTCCTGCACCATGGCGGGGGCGGGGGGCGGTTTTGCTGTACCTGGGCTCCAGAGGCTTTCCTTGAGTCTCCAAGAGGGCGAAAATGGATTCCCTGGACTCTGGAGGCTCATCTGGAAGACGGAAATGGGCCCATTTCCAGCCTTCCAGAACTTCCAGCAAGCCTGTTTTTCACACCTCTGGGAGGGCAAAAATGGCCTCCTCGGGCTCCAGAGGCTCTCTGGAAGCTGGAAATGAGCCCATTTCCGGTCTTCTCGAACTTCTTGGAGGCCTATTTTTTGCCCTCTTCAAACTGCTGTGTGCACCGTGCATCCAAAACGGGTCACATAGGGACTCCTGTGAGGGGTGGAGCGGTGTGGGCAGGGCCAGCCAGGAGTAGGATTTGGGGGTTGTTTGAACTGCACAGAATCTCAGCAAGGGGCTCTTCCGAATGCCTGAGGGCCCCCAAATTAAGCCCCCCCTGCTTTAGATCCCCCCAAAATATTAAATTTTGTTTAATAAGATGTCATCTCATATCTACTGAGGAATCCCATACATTTTCAAATGTCACGGTGTAGCATTTCCCCCTTATTAATATGCTCCGTCTAATCTGTAGAAAAATACACCTCTGTTACTATAGCTTTGATTTCTGATTAGTCTACAGGTAAAATGGATGAAAACCAGTTTGTGGCCATTACCAGCAGTAACGCTGCCAAAATCTTCAATCTGTATCCGCGAAAAGGCAGGATTGAAATTGGTTCCGATGCTGACCTTGTTATATGGGATCCCGACAAGGAGAAGACAATCACAGCAAAAAGCCATAAATCGGTAAGGCAGAACATTTCAATTAACAGAATTAACAGAATAATGGAGGTTGGAAGGGACCTTGGAGGTCTTCTAGTCCAACCCCCTGCTCAGGCAGGAAGCCTTGTACCCTTCCAGACAAATGGTTGTTGTAACCTCTTCTTAAAAACTCCCAGTGTTGGCACAATTACAATTTCTGGAGGAAAAAGTAAAAAGCTTTAGCTTTTAAAATTTTGATTTTTGATGAAATCTTATATCCCCCCACCACCACCACCCCCAGTAAAATGTTCAACAAGAGTTATGGAAGTGGAATATTAAGACAGCTTTATTTAATTTACAAAGGATTATGTCATGCCCCTGTTGGAATCTGACTAGGAGGAGGAAGCCGAACCGCTGACAGGGAGAGAGAGTGTGGCTCCGTTGGCTGTGGAAGAAACTGGGGAAGAGCAAAGTCCATCTGGGCAGAGCAGGGAAGAGGTAGAACAAGGGAGATGGAGTTCAGAGGAAGAGCCAGGCTCACCCCCTCTTCATCCTAGGGCATGCAGGGAGGCACAGAGAAGGGAGCAACATGAGTTGTGTGGCTTACAGGGGAGGAAAGGGCTCTGATTCCCTTCATTAGCTGCATCTGGGAACATAGTGTATAAAAAAGGCAAGCTGCGTGCAGCAAGCTGTTGGGAACAAACATGACTTTATCTTATATCATTGTGGCTTATCTGTGTTCCTGGTGTCTTCCCAACTGTGTGAGTTTTGCCATGCTTTCAAGTCTGAAAGTCCTTCTCCTGCTCCTGCCAAGCTAATTACTTCAGTTTGGTTTGTTTGGAGTTTAAGTTACAGTTTGTGTGTACGTTGTTTTGTATTTAATTTTCTACAGTCAAAGACTGTTCCTGGGAGAGTTTTTCTCCAGCCCAAAGTTAATCTGGACATTGGGGGCAAAGTTGGAGATAATAAAGGGACTTATTGCTTATCTGACTGTGTTGCCTTTGTGCCAGGCCCCTTTGGGTCATCACAGATTGTTTTGTTCCTTCCCAGTCTGTGATTTTTGTTTAAACAAATGTGTTACATGATTAGAAAGGAGTGAAATACACACTTATCCACAACATTAAGTCTCAAATCTCCTGTTTTCTATGCTGTGAAGAATATGAAACAATAAAGCCTTTATTGGACTTAAACTGAAATAAACCTGGAAAGTAATAAGTGTGACTTTAACTGTTTGCAAGAATAAAGCAGTGGTGGGATTCAACTGGTGCAACAACTGGTTTGGTGAGTGTACGCAGCGCGCGCATGTGTTACATTTGAAAATAGCAAGAAAACTGACCATTTACTGCAGCCCGGTGAACTATCAGTTCGCCCGAACTGGTCCATACTGGCTGAATCCCACCCCTGAATGCAAGAGTTAGATTTTGTGATGCAAGTTGATTGAAAATCCATTCAAAAAGTGAGGTGGGAAAATGTGATGGCTTTTTATATCATGTCAGAAGCAGATTTGAGTCTATGATGGAAGAAAAATGCACAAGGGAGTCACCCAAGACTGGCTGGATAGAATAAAAAGCAAGTAAAAGAATTATTGCTTTTTAAAATATACAGTGCCTAGCTGTTAACACCAAACTGTTGGTAGCATTTTTCCTGTAGTAGCATTTTTACTGTATTTTATTAGACATTGTCTGCCATTCTTGATGAGATAAACAATCTATGGAAAATAGACAGACAAGAGAGAGTTTTTTTTGTTGATTAAAATAACCAGTCCGAATGAAATCAGGTAGAATTAATTAATGAAGGGGATTAAGCCCTCCTGAAGAATACAGACAGCCAACCAAACAAAGAGAAGCATAAATCAAGGCAGCATCTAGAAGCGTTCAATGGAATCAGAAACAGAAATCAAAACATTTGGCAGTTTGACCCAGTGGTTATTAAAACCCCATGCAGGCATATTTCTGCAATTGAATTAATGCAATCAAAAGCATGCCTATATGTACATTAGTAGCAATATATTGTGGTCATTGTTTCAGGCTGTGGAATATAACATTTTTGAAGGCATGGAATGCCGTGGGGCTCCCTACATAGTTATTAGCCGAGGGAAGATTGTGTTTGAGGATGGGAATTTGTCGATGAGGAAAGGATCGGGGTCTTTCATCCCGCGAAACGCCTTTCCAGAGTATCTTTATCAACGGATCAAAACTAGGAATAAGGTATGTTTACTCACTTCCTCGTAATCTTTCAATACTACCCTTCGGTACACAGCTTGCTTTCATTAATTATAAGTAGTCCTCAACATGCGACCTCAATTGAATGTAAAATTTATCTTGCTAAGGGAGAAATTTGTAAAGAGAGTTTTGCCCCATGACTTTTCTTGCCACGTTTGTTAAGTGAATCACTGCAGTTGTTAAGTTAGGAAGTCGGTTGTTAAGTGAATCTGGTTTCCACCCACTGGTCACGAAAGGGGCTCACATGACCCCGGAACACCGCAACTGTTGTAAATGTGAGTCAGTAGTTGAGCATCCGAATGTAAACCACTGGCATATCATCATCATCATCATCTTTTAATGACCCCATAATCTCTTGTGAGGTGGAGTCTGGGCAACTGAATAGAGCTGAGTATTTACTTGCCGGATGCCCTTCCTATCGCCAATGCAGAGTTATAACTTCAGCAGATATAATCTCAATGTACCCAAAGAGAGAAAAAATCTGCCTCTATCTAGGATCGAACTCACAGCCTTCTGATTGTGAGGTGAGAATTCCACCTCTAGGCCACTACACCACATGCAAATCACTGGTATACCCCAAAGACATATAAAGAGTTAAGTTTACTGAGCACAGGTGAGAGCCTTTGTTAAGATTTACCTTGCGATGAGAAGAGTGGCTAAGAGGGCTTAGTTCTCTGCTGTTATTGCTTTTGAGGGTGGGCCGGGTGGCCAGATTCCTTCTGGGCAGGGAGGGAATCCTTGGTGGGCTAGCGTGAGAAATTTTCTTGGCCTTTGTTGGAGAAAGTTGTTGGACGCTGGCTGGGCAGGTCTATGGAAATCATGGAGGGACATCTAGGCTCTGTTACCTGGAAAGAGTTGGAGCTGGTTACTCCTGAGGAAGCCCCCTGGGGGCTGTGAGTTCTGCCACCTGTGCCCTGGATCCATGCCCCTTGGGGTTGGTTAAGCCTTCCTGGGAAAGCAGCAGGCAGTGACGCCAGCTGATTGATTACAGGAGGGAATACAATACTCCCTTCTTAAGAGATTATCCTTGGACACAATCCGGGTAACAACAAGTCAGCATTGGTCTTGCTTTTGAAGTGGCATTAGGTCCAGAACACTGCGGCTCACTTACTTAGGATCACCTACAGGTGAGCAAGAAGTCAAAACAGCTGTGTAGTTGGAGAGACAGAAGTAAACACCCGTTCACTGAGAATGAATACATGTTTGTCTTGTCTATGGAGATTCTCAGTCCTCCAGGTCATGGTGCTTTTCCAAGAGGCAAATGGACTTTCTTGTTTTTCTTTGAAGACATTTTATTTCTCACCCAAGAAGCTACTTCAACTCTGACTGGATGGTGAGGAAGGGAAGGATTTATATTCCTTGCAGACAGCTGGTCATTTGCATCCTTTTGGAGAGTCATCGAGGCCACTTGGAGGTTTATCTGTGTCAGCAGGGTCACCTGAGTGGTGCAAATGGGGGTGGAGCCTTCTTGCAACTGCTGATAGGAACTGTGTTGTAGCATGGAGATAGATAATGTCATATACCTTCCCCTTCTAGTTGAGAGAGGGCTGTTCGATTTTGATGTAGATGACCGCTTTGACCCCACTTTCAAACCAGTGGTCCTCTCTATGCAAAACGTGGACTTTGCTGTCTTCAAAAAAGTGACCTGGGTCTTTTAAATGCAGGTGGACTGCCGAATCTAATCCTGATGGGTTTGTTCTCCTTATGTTGGTTCATGCGTTTGTGAAGGGGTTGTTTTAGTACAGATCTGCACGCGGCTCACTGCCTTGCACTGCATGGACGTGTGTTTCTTTCTGCACCCCGCAGGTAACAGAATTACAGGGTGTTTCTCGAGGAATGTACGATGGGCCGGTCTACGAAGTTTTAGCAACTCCTGCAAAATATGCAACTCCTGCCCCCTCAACTAAAACGTCGCCTGCCAAAAACCAGCCTCCACCAATCAGAAACCTCCACCAGTCTAATTTCAGTTTATCAGGTGATTCTGAAATCTTTTCGAAACAGAATGCTGGTGGAAAAGATTGCCCCCCCCCCCCGCATGAGATATTTAGGATGGAGTTGTCACCCCGTTTGGAGCGAGGAAGTGTTCTTTGGAGCGGGGGAGGAGTGTCTTTTGACAGAGGTTCTAGGAATGAGGATGCCTGGCTGGCCCTCTTTGTGAGTGCCAGTTTGGCAGGAAGGGGAGCTAGGATGCTGCTATTTAGACAGCCAGGGTGGCCTTGGGGTGCGTGGTAGTTCAGACTTGCAAAGCCCATTTGAAGTTTCCACCCCAAACAGTGGCCTGAGATTCTCATTTTTGCTGGATTCCCCCTTGGGGACAAGTAATGGGAGCTCACTCCATTATGTGGCGCTAAGGTTTCAAACCGCCGAACTGCTGACCTTTCTGATTGACAAGCTCAGCATCTTAGCTACTGAGCCACCGCGTCCCTACATTTTAAAATAATTGATGTTTAATTTGTATTAATGGTTCTTCACCTTGGTGGTATAGCAACTGCCTGCAGCAGCAAAAACGAGGAGCAAATAATCTGACATAGTTTGGACAGTGCTGTCTGCCTGCAGAAGCCTGATTAGTTTAAAAATTATGGTGGGCACCCCGCCATCTCTCTTCACTTTTGAGCAGCTCAGTTCTAAGCCACACAGAAGCTCCTGTTGGCAGGCCCAACGCCACACTAAGGTTTGGGGTGCTTTTTGCTCAGAAAGGAAGGATTCTCATGTATTGCTGAGGATTAAATCTAATGCTTCTGAAATGCTCTCTTGCAGGGGCTCAAGTAGATGACCACAATCCTCGCCGTACCGGACACCGTATCGTGGCACCACCAGGCGGCCGTTCCAACATCACTAGTCTTGGATAAGCGTAGACGGAAGTCGGCAACGAAGAATGAACGCTCTTAGTCCTCCTCTACATCCTGTGTTCCTTAGCTCACGTTTCATTCATTGCGATGCAAGAACAAAATTGTTTGTCTTAAGGAAATAAGTGTCATAGTGTGATGTGTTTGCTTGGAATGAATCACCTTGGTTGTGTTCGCCATCTTGAAAGCATGATCCTCCCCATGCTCGGTGAGCAGCAGCGCTGCTCGGACCTTTGCTTGCAATAGAGGGTCTCTTTTTGCACCTTCCCGCTCTCCATCCCCTTCTTAGCTGTGCTAGATTAGGCAATGCATGTTACTGAAGCAAGTTGCGGTTTGTGCGTCTACTTTAGAGCAAGGCTGCTGGCCACTTTGGATTAGACACAAGGTCAAGGCGTGATGTTCCGTTAAAGGAAGACACCTATGGACTCTTACAAATATGCAGAAGAATTTTTGTTGGTGTCCATTGTTATTCATTACCGACCCAATGAGGGGGGCCAATAGGCTGTGATCTTCTCAGTCGAGTCAAACTCTCGTCCGACTTTAGGAAAAGCCATTATTATTATTAATTCATGTGGTGACCATAGAGGATTTCTACAGACGGTCCATCTTTACAGACCAATTTTGGTACTTGTAAACATTTCCAAGGTTTGTTGGGTTTTTAACGTTTTTTGTATGGAGAGGGTTTTGTTTTTCCTCCTTATAGATTGTGGTCATTTATTAGAATGTGTCAGATTTAGTAGTCGTGGCTCATTTTTTAAACACTTGTGAAATAAAAGAACATGAAGTAGTTTTGACTCTTTTTTATTTTAGTACATTATCAAAACAATTGCCATTTGGTTTCTTATACATCCTTGAGAAAACTCCAACCTAACAGGAATTAAACAGCAACTGAATAACTGGCTGGGGACTATAGGCCAGAACCCATTACACTGCAGTAGTCTTTGTTTATAGATTTATAGTTTAACAAAATAATAACGTAATAGATTTGGAAGGGACCTGGGAAGTCTTCTAGTCCAATCCCTGTACAAGCAGGGAGACCATATACGACGTCAGACAAATGATTGTCCGATCTCTTCTTAAACACTTCCAGTGTTGGCGCATCCACAGCTTTAGGAGGCAAGTCATTCTACTGATTAATATCAGGAAATTTCTTTTTACAGTAGAACTTGGGTTATGAATGCTCCTGTTCGTGACCAAATCTGGTGACGACCAAAGATTTGGGAAAATTGTTGCTTCTGGCGGCAAACAGATCCTTGGGTGGCGATCAGTACAACCGTGGCGATTTTCCTTGCTGCAATGATTTCCCCTTCCGTGCATGCGCAGAACTGTAGGTACATGCACAGATGGTTGTGCTTCCGGCCATGACCAAATCGGGTTGTGACCGTAGTCCTGGAACAGATTACGATCGCAACTTGTGGTTCTACTGTAATTCTAGGTTGCTTCTTTCCATGCTTAGTTTCCATCCATTGCTGCTTGTCATGCCTTCTGGTGCTTTGGAGAATAGATTTGACTCCCTCTTCTTTGTGGCAGCTGCTGAAGCGAGCGGGATCATGCAGGCTTGCAGGAGGCGAGTTAGAATGCCTTCAAATAGTGGAAACAGTGGTGGTATTTGACTGGTTTGGCCCGGTTCTGGTGAGCTGGTAAAAGCGATGAGCAGCGACCAAACTGGTTTTCTCCGCTGCTCTGCTGTTGGGCCCACCCACCTGCCCGGGCTCCCATACTTGCTTTTATCTGCTGAATTTGAGCCCAGCTGCTTTGCGCAGCACAGAAGAGTGCCGTGCGGCAGCTGTTGAAGTGACCGAAATCATGCGCAGGCTTGCAGGAGGGAGTTACAATGCCTCTGTGCCTACGCAAAGTGCGCATTTATCACGCCCTGCAAGCCATGGCCATGGAACCAGTGGCAACAATATTTGAATCCTACCACTGAGTGGAAGACTGCTGTCGCCACAGCTCTGGTCTTACAACAATGATGAAGATGTAGCTTATGAGCATTGCGTGCATCATAACCAATGCATGTATGCACCATCCTGGATAGCTCCTCTTTCTGTCATAGAGCTGCTCAGCAATGGATCTGACCCATCCCCTCCCTTGCACAAAGGGCAGTGAGTTTGGAGAAGAAGGGATCACAAGAGAATAAAAACAAAACACCAAAGCTGTGAGAAATGCGCAGCACATGAATGTTGAATAATTCAAAAGATTGATAATTTGTATTGATATAATTAAAAATAATTTAAAAGATTGATAATTTGTAAGGTGACCAACCGTCCTCCTTTAGGGAGGGCAGTCCTCCTTTTGTAAGTTCGGTCCTCCCTCAAAAAGTGTCCTCCTAAATGTCCCCCCTTTTGATATTTGAAGACTAATCTGTAAATCTTCGTATTTGATCGATGCCGATCCAATGTGTGTGACGTGACGTATTTGTTTTTGACATAACGATGATTATGAGACATATGCGCTCCATAGGATTGTTTTGAGTGTGCCGCGAACAAGAGGCTTTGTTTTTTTTCCTTCCACTCATTTGTGTCCTTTTAACTGTAAAAAAGTTGGTCACCTTATAATTTCTATTTATATGAAGCCATATAAGAATGTTAATAGTATCGATATGAAATCGTTGTCATGTTTGTTCTCAAATGCAAAAAAAAAAAAGGGGGGGGGGCTATTGCGCCCACTCTCGAGATCCCTTTCTCTCCAAACAACGTTGCGAGTCTCTTTCCTCAGCGCCGGCCCTGAGCCTTCCTCCCAAGAGATGCAACCACGCCCCCCTTTTTTTTGCTGAATCCGAAAGCAGGGCGGCGCCATCGCGCGGCTTCTCTCCCCCACCGCCGTCCCACTCGCCCAACCGCCGGCTGCTTCCGGCGTGGCCAGCAAGCGCCGGCTCGCCAACCAGGCAGCGCGTGCGCCCATCCGCCTTCCTTTTCGGCCTGACCGCTGTGCGGCGCTCGAGCCTAGAAGCTTCGCGAAGTCCGCCGGATCGGCCGCCCGCCCGCCTGGGCCATCCGTGACAGGCTGGGGGGGGACGCTCTCCTCTCACTCACTCTCCTTGCTGCGCGCGCAGCTTTTGCTTCCCCCCCCCTTTTCCCTCCCCCCCCGCCCCCGCCTACTCGGGAGGCGCCTGGTTTCCCGGGGGCCGCTCTCTCGCTCTCTCTCGCTCTCCTCTTTTTCACTCTCCCTGCTGCGTGCGCAGCTTTCGCCCCATCCCCGCCCCCTTGACGCGCCGCCTGCTGGTCCCGCGCGCGCGGACGAGCTTCCCTCAGAGCGGCGGCGGCGGCGCCATGACGGCGGAGGAGCGCGGAGCTGAGGAGATGAGCGCGGCGGAGGCGGCGGCCGCAGTGGCCGCGGAGGGCCTCGACATCACCGCCAAGGGCGACGGCGGCGTCCTCAAGGTGGGCGGAGGCGCCTGCGGGGCCCGCCTGGCCCAAGCCTCTTCCCCCCCCCCCCGCTCCCGCCGAAGGCCGGGCTCGCCCGCTGCCTTCCTCACGAAGCCCCGAGAAGGCGCGTCTGCCCCGGGATTCTCGCCCGAGGGGGCCACTCCCTTGCACGCCTGGCGGGCGACAGCGTTGGAAGCGGCCGATCTGAATTCCGGGGCGGCCGGGAGCCTTCAGGCCTCACCCCGCCCTCCCACTTTAAACGCCAAGGCCGAATTGGGCCGGTTGCGTTGGATATTGGGGTGCAATGAGGGGACTATTAGGGTTGATGGGTATTGGGGTGCAATGAGGGGCTATTGGGGTGGGGGGCTATTAGGGATGCTTGGAGGGGTATTGGGGTGCAATGAGGGGGCTATTAGGGGTGGGGGGCTATTAGGGAGAATGGGAAGACTATTGGGGTGCAATTAGGGGGCTATTGGGGGTGGGAGTGCTATTAGGGACAATGGGAGGAATATGGGGGTGGGGGGGCAATTGTGGGGGGGCTTTATGGCAGTGAGGGGGGGCCAGGCCTCTCAGTCCTCACCTTGTCCTTTTCTCTTTTCCTGGGCAGAAGGAAAGTGGCCCCCGGACCAGCCAGTTTTCGCTTTGCGACCTAAGGCCACTAAGCAGGGAGCGCCAGATTCTCTCCTGACACCATAAAAAGGGAGCTGCTGCCTGGCTTGGCTTTGGTTTTGGCCACCAGTAGAGCGGGGCTTTCGGACGGGCCCTCAAGCTTCCTTCTCTCCCTTGGCAGGTGGTCAAGAAAGAAGGGATAGGCACCGAATGTCCCATGATAGGGGACAAAGTGACCGTCCACTACACCGGATGGCTTCTGGATGGCTCCAAGTTTGACTCCAGCCGGGACCGAAAGGACAAGTTCTCCTTCGATTTTGGAAAAGGTGACGTCTCTGAAGTGGAAAAATGTCCCTCTCTTCTCAATTTTCTACTTATTTATTTCTATCCCGCTTTTGTTGTTTCAGAAATAGCTCAGTGAGGCCAACACGTACCCTCTTCCTATTTCATATTTGATTGCAATAATTAAGTTTTCCTGTCCAGATTTCCACAGGGAACACAGCGGCCATCGTCTGTCCCACTGTATCGTGGACTGACTTGCACAAATTCAATGCCGTAACTTATTTTTTGCATGGCGTATTATTTGATGGGGCCAGTGGAATATATTTTTTTTTAAAAAAAAACACAACCCAGTAAAACATTAATTCTCAACATGCTATGGGAAACATAGAGCTTCTTAAAGAAGGAAAAACTATCTGGATGAAGAGGTAAGAAGATCAGATTGGGAAGGTTGCCCAAATTAAAATCCTGACCAGTCTTTTGTATAATACAGCTAGTCCTTGATTTGCAAGTTTGTTTATTGACCATTCAAAGTCACAACTTAAAGCCACTTAACGACCATTGCAGCATCTTGTGATCAAGTGATCCAAATCCAGACACTTGGCGACGGATTCATACTTATGACAATGGCAGTGTTCCATGGGGTCACGTGATCCCCTTTTGCAATCACTGTCGTGCAAAGTCAGTGGGGAAGCCAGATTCACCGAACAACTGAGTTTGCTAGCTTGTCAGCTTAACTGCAGCGATTCCCTTAACTGCTGTGGCAAGAAGAAAGGTCGTAAAACCAGGCGAAACCTGCTTAACATAATGTCTCAGCCACAGAAGTTTGGGGCTCAGTTGTAGTCGTAAGTCGAGGACTGCTTGTACTTGCCTTATAAAGAGAGAAGGAAGGTATACACCAGAACAACTAAACACAAAACAGGTTTTTCCTGAATGCCATCACTTGCTAAATAAATAATTCCCTCAACACTGTCCAACTATTCAGAGTCTGTACTACTAACTACTATTACTATTGATCATCTCATTACTCCTGATCACCCATCCCCTCCCACTTGTGACAGTGTGACTGTAACTTTGTGGCTTGTATCCTTACGATTTCTATGGACTGTTTCCTAGTATGGTTTGATTGCTTATTGTTCCCTATGACTATCATTATGTGTTGGTACCTGATGATTCTTGACAAATGTATATTTTCTTTTATGTACACTGAGAGCATTTGCACCAAAGACAAATTCCTTGTGTGTCCAATCACACTTGGCCAATAAAGAATTCTATCTATCAATCAATCAATCATCTATCTAAATCAGGCCACTAGTAATATCTTCCTTAGCGCGACAAAAGATTCATAATGCAAAAGGAACTTCGTCTCGGCCCTTTGTTGAACGGAACCCCAACATTTTGGGCTCTTTCCCACAACAGTTTTGCCTTCTTACAAATCGTACACAAGTAACAACAGCCCCTCCTTCCTAGGGCTGGCAGGCAGGACTTTTCACAGTTTCTCATCGAAGTGGCAAGAAGAGAAAACTCCGGAGGGAAATACTATATTCTCCCAACCATTCCTGAAGGGCGGGACTCTTACCTTGATAAGTTGGGCTGCATTTTAACAAAGCCTTTCATCTAAGCTTCTGGTAACATTGTCGTCTATTTTCTCTTTTTTGTGTGTGTGGTTAGGTGAGGTGATCAAAGCATGGGACATCGTTGTGGGAACCATGAAGATTGGAGAAGTTTGCCAGATTGTCTGCAAACCAGAATATGCCTACGGCTCTGCCGGCAGCCCCCCTAAGATACCTGCCAATGCCACTTTGTTTTTTGAGGTAGGCTTGAGGCCATGGGCTTTGACCCACAGCAGACAGGCACATTGGATGGGAGGAAAGCTCTGCCTGCTCTCTCTCCCCCCCCCCCATCTCCTCAGACACCCCACCCCTGACCTGTTTGCTGTTTTATAGCCACTCTGGATATACAGGTAGTCCTCGACTTACGACTGTTTAGTGGCCATTCAAAGTTGCAACGGCACTGAGAAAAGGGACTGATGACTGTTTTTCACACTTAACAACACGTTGCAGCAGTCCCCATGGTCGCATGATTTACATTCAGATGCTTGACAACTGACTCATTTTTATGATGGTCACAGTGTGCCCAGGGTCACGTGACCTCCTTTTGCTTCCTGGTGAACAAAATCCACTGAGAAGCCAGATTCACTTAATGACGGTGTCTCTAATTCCAAGAACTGCAGCGATTCACTTAACAGACATGGTGAGAAAAGTTGTAAAACGGGGCAAAAACTCCCCTAGCAAATTTCTCCCTCAACAACATAAATTTTTGGACTCATTTGTGATCGTAAGTCGAGGACTCCCACTTTCCCCCAGTTTATGACCGTTTTCCACACTTACGGCCATGACAACATCCCCATGGTCATGTGATCAAAATTTGGAGGCTTGGCAATTGACTCCTATTTATGACGGTTGCAGTGTTCTGGGGGGTGTGTGTGTGATGTGACATCCTCTTTTGCGACCATCTGACCAGCAAAGTCAACGTGGAAAATCAGATTCATTTCACAACCGTGGCGTTAACTTGACAAGCACAGTGATTGACTTAACAACGGGGGCAGGAAAGATCGTAAAACGGGGCAGTTTGCTGAACCAATGTCTCGCTGAACAGCAGAAATTTGGGGCTCCACTGTGGTCGTAAGTCGAGGACCTCTCCCCCTACAGTTCCTGAGTACAATGGTGGGAAGTGCACAGAAAAAGAAATACTTCTGTTTTAAGGAATCTTTGACTTAAATCTTTAATTTTTTTCCTTTTTGTCATTTTAACTGTCTTCTGCTCACTGTCATGCGCCTTTTTTTAAATTTCAGCCCGTGCCCTTGGTGCTAAGCAAACCTGTGCTTTCTCTCTCTAGATAGAACTGTTTGAGTTCAAGGGGAAAGACTTGACTGACGATGAAGACGGGGGAATAATTCGGCGCATCCGAAAGAAAGGAGAAGGCTATTCCAAACCCAACGAGGGAGCCTTGGTAGAGGGTGAGTAGCAGAGCTGGGCTTACTTAAACCAGGGGGTGGGGAACGATGGCCCCTTTTATAACCTGTGGACTTCCATCTCCCAGAATTCCTGAGCCGTCAGGGGTGGGGAATGATGTCCCTTTTAAGACTTGTGGATTTCCAACTCCTAGAATTCCTGAGCTAGCATTCCTGAGCCTGGCTGGCTCAGGAATTCTGGGAGCTGAAGTCCACAAGTCACAAAAGAGGCCATAATCCTCCATGTTTGCCTTAAACACATGCTGGATTATTAATCTGTATTTCAGGTTGGGTGTGAAAGGGTTCCAGATGGTCTACGGGCCCCAACTCTGTAATAGTGTTGTTGTCAGGATTCCGGCAGTTACTCCAATTAGATCATAAGCCTTGAGCCACACTCCCAAAACTAAAAAAATATTTATTCTACGTCCGGCATTTACTTGGGTATAGCCGACTCTGAGATACGTAATTCACTGTCACCCTTGATCCTGCTTCCCCCCACCCCACCCCTCTGGGTGTATCATCCAACGAAAAACGTCCATAGCCAAGAGTCATCAATCATGCTCTCCAATTAGATTTTGCAGCAGAAGCTTCGGCCATCTAATCAGTCTTTGAAGAAAATATGAGTGGGATGTACTTTCGATTCCACACTGCCGCCTGCTCTTTGAAACTTCCCCCACTTCTTTCTGTTGTTAACTATAAAACATGTATACAAAATGTTTTAGAAGTTGATAGTTGTGTTGAAACACAGGTAGTCCTCGACTTATGACCACAATTGAGCCCAAGACTTCTGTGAAGTGAGACATTTGTATAGTGAATTTTGTCCCGTTTTACTACTATTGTTAAGGGAATCACTGCAGTTGATACGTTACTGACAGGGTTAATAAGTGAATCTGCCTTCCCACATTGACTTTATTTATTGGAAGGTTGCAAAAGGGAATCGTGTGACCTTGGGACAGAGCAACGGTCATAAGTATTAACCAGTTGCCAAGCCTCTGAATTTTGATCACGTGATCCTGGGGATGCTGCAAAGGTCGTAACTGTGAAAAACGGTCGTGACTTTTTTTCAGTGCCATTGTAACTTTGAACGAGTCACTAGACAAACTCTTGTAAGTCAAAGACTCTGTAACTTCTCTGTTTCCACCATGGACACGCACATTTTGCTCTTTCAGCCAGATTTACCCAAGGAACAGCCTATCACACAGATATTCTCTTTTTTGGACACACACGCACGCACGCACACACACACACCCTGTGCTGAGTGAAAGTCATTCTTTCACTCTCCTGCGGACAGTTGTTTTGGGGTGTCCCAGGAGAAGGTGAATCCTATCTCCTTCCTGCACTCACAGCATGCTGGGAAACAGCGATGTAACTCCTCGAGGCTTTTGAGCGTGTGGGCCTCTACAGCAGTGCCCCCCAGCCTTTGTTGGGGACTGGCAAGGGTGGGGGGAGAAGAAGTGATTTCAGGCAAGCGGCCAGCGTATTCAGATGTTTCTGCACAAAATCGCTTGCCTATGACCTGCCCAGCCTGGTTCCCAATGGCCCAGGGTGGCGGTGGCGCTAGGGATCCCGGTGTCAACTCATACGGCATTTTTATGCCTGTTTTAGAGTTGCCATAAACAAGTGGGCAGTGTGGGAGGGAAGGAAGTCTGAAGGAGCAGGGCAGAAATTTAAAGCCAGAAATACATTTCATACTTACCTTACAAAGATTGTAACTAAGCTACTGGATCTTCTGCCTGGAAAATTCTTAATTGGATAACGTAATTGATGACACCCAGCCCAGTGAATGTGTTTCATTGGAGAATCTGATTTATGACACACCCGGGGGTGTGTGTGAAACAGGGTCACAGGTAACTGTGAGTTACTTATGCCAGAGTTGGCTTCATACAGGTTAATGCCGGACATGTTGCTCCTAATAAATCTTCTGAATTCTTTTGAAGTTTGGCTCGAGGCTCATGATTTAATTAGGGCAATCGCCGGAATCCTGACACCTGCTCTACCAAGAGAACTTTAGCAATCGGTTCTAAATAAATGTTATTTTTTTTAATGCCAGTCGAGATTGAAGGTCGGCACGAAGGTCGCGTGTTTGACAAACGAGAGCTGCGGTTTGAAGTAGGAGAGGCAGAAAACTATGACCTCCCTCCTGGCGTGGACAAAACCCTACAGAAAATGGAGAAGCTGGAAGAGGCTGTGGTTTACCTTAAGCCCAAGTGAGCCCTTTTGCCCTGAAGTGGTCTTGCCCGTGTGAATCATTGGGGGCCCTTAAGCTTGATTTGGGGGATGAAATGATGGGATAGGAGGATCTATTGAGGGAGAAATATTTTGTTCCTGAACACCTTTCATGCCTCTTTTACAGCTACGGCTTTGGAAGTGTTGGGAAACCAAAGTTTCAAATCCCTCCAGACGCCGACTTGCAATATGAAATCAAGCTCAAAACCTTTGAAAAGGTATGTAAGGAGGCACATCTACAAAGGCAGAGGGGGTGGGGAGAGAATTGGCCTTAAAGTAACAGGCATGGGCTTATTTTTTGGTAATTTCAGCACCCTAATTTTTACTCAACATCATTTGTTTTATTCAACTGCAAAGTGTGCAACTACTGATTGAGGTTTGATACATAATGCAGGCTTTTTTAATGCAATATATTTAATATTTAAAGATGTTTGCATTGATCTCCCTTGTCCCATCAAGTTTCAGTTTGAGACAAATCAAATGGTTCACGCAATAGGATTCTCTTTTTTTCTCTCTCACTTTTGCTTGGTATTATCACACTGTCCATATTTATTTGTTTAATTTTTATGGCTGCCCATACAAATTTGGATGGTGAGTGTGCTTAAAAAAATTAAAGATGAAAAATGCACAATCTAAATGAAAAGTAACCCGCAGGAATAAAATGATAAATGGGCCCCGTGAGGATAACCAATCAGCAATATTTTGCGCCTGACCCCCATACGTGGGAAAAAAACCTAGAAGTTTCCAGCTCTCCTTTCTCTCTTTGACCTGGAGGATTTCTGTCCGTGGGAACACTGCTTAGGACTTGTCTAAACTCGTTACTGCTTCTCCGGAGTCCCAGTGTTCTGGTTTCGCACTGCAATCCAGGATGATGTGGTTGCTTTCGTCCAAAGTTCCCACGGCTTTTAACTGTCGGATCAGGTCTTCTCTGTTGCAAAGATCAAATGTAGGAGCACCGCTTCCCTCTTCCACACTTCTAGAAGATCAAATCGTCTTCAAAGAGTCTGCAATCGTGGGTGGGGTTGATTTCCCAATATATGTCTGCAGATTGAAATCTCCCGTGATTCTTAGATCCCATCTCCTGATGTAGCCAAAAACCAAAACAAGGACACAGAAGTGGGGTTTCCTGTCATCCTGTGGGGGAGGAAGGGTCGCAAAGGGCCAACCACGCTTGTCTGTGCTGCCTAGGAAAGCGTGCTCCCAGAGTCTCTTCGGCTGAAGTCGTCACTTATTCCGTCCCCTTCTTCCAGGATGGGCTTTCTTCAAGAACGGAGGTGGCTGATTTGGCTCTTTTTGTGTTTCCGCAGGCAAAGGAGCCCTGGGAGATGAACACCCAAGAGAAGCTGGAACAAGGCGCCATTGCAAAAGAAAAAGGCACCCAGTATTTCAAAGTAGGTATCCCGCGGGGTTTGTAGCAGCCCTGGGCTGCTGTCCTGTAGAATCAGCTGCTGATGGGATTTTACCTTCGGTGCTGCCTAACGCTAAAAATGTCCAGGCGAGTGTAGAAGAAGCCGAGAGAATGTGCTTTTCTGGTTCCTCATCCAATTATCGGAGAGAAGGATTGAGTTGCAGTCTCCCAGTGATAAAATTTCTATCCCCTGCTGAGTATGCTTATTCACGATTTGAAACATGGGCTGGAGGAGAGGCAGATCAGATTTGCGTACGGCGGAATTGGAGGAATAGGTGAAGCCTTAAGAGGAAAGAAGGAAGGCTCCACTTTTATTTTGGTTGATTTGAGGCGTTGGCTAGAAAATCGCAAAGAGGAGCACAAAAGGCCTTTACAGGAAGAGAACTCAAATGCGCAGTTACGGGACAAGGTATTCCTGGGCTGGAAGCGCCTCCTTCAGAAAATCTACTTGGCGGTGGAGTCGATGGCAAAAAAAAAAAAACCAGTCAGCAAAGAGCCTGGGTGTGGCTAAGAAAATCCAGGTGCAGTCGGGGACCTCCAGAAATACTTTCCAAAACACTGGAAATAATTCTTCCTCTTTATTCTGCTTTAGTCTGATCCCGTAGTGACTGCCGCCCTCTGGCCTTGGGGAAGGATTTAGAGAGATTGGAGTGGTTCAGAGAAGAAAGGAGAGGAGGAGGAGGCTTAAGTTTCAAGACCTACAAAGGGAGGCTGAATTTGAGTGACAGGTGGATGATAGGCCTGCTTGGAGGGCAGTTAAAGGTTTCTTTTTTCTTGGGTCCAGAGTTCAGATCATGGGATGATGGATATGAATTCCAGGAAAGCAGATTCCCGTGGAAAGTTAGAAGGAAAAAATTCTGGTGGCAAGACCAGTTTGACGGGAATGAATGACCCAGCTCACAGAATGCTCTCCCGCTGATAGAGAGCGGTCCCAAATGCTTTAATTTGGATTCATAGAGGGTGGTGGTGGTGGTGGAATGGTGTGGTTGGGGGCTGGATTTAATGTCTTGCCTGCTTTAAATTACGCTACATAACCCAGTGCAGGTTAGTTTTTGTTTCTGGATACAAGGAGTGTTTCCCTAATCCCTTAGGCCTAACATAAATTTTTAAAAAAATAGCTTATTGTTCCATAAAAACATTGCTTGTGCGGTCAGGAAACTTATCTGTGTTCCAGAACATTCAATGCTGAGTTGACTTCCAGAATATTCTGGAACTGTGAGAACTGTCCAGGATATACTGGGATTTTGAACATCATTACTGAGGACAATAGCACAAAAACATTATGGTGGCTTTTTCAAAAATGCGGTTTGCAGTTTTGTCACAGATCTAGAAAATCTGTTCATTTCCAAATCCTTTTGAGTGGCTTTTAACTGTCTTTGTATATTTGCCTGTGCAAGTATAGGAAGACCTCGGCTTACGGCCACAATTAAGCCCAAAATTTCTGTGGTGAAACGAGACGGTTGTTTTAGTCTATTTTGCTCTGCTTCAGGACCTTTCTTGCCTCCATTGTTAAGCGAATGAGCGCACCTGCTAAGTTAAGTGAATATGGTTTCCCCATGAACTTTGCTGTTCAGAAGGTCACAAAAAGGGATCACACATGACCCTTGGGACAAAACAACGGTCATAACCATGAATCAGTTGCCAAGCACCTGAATTTTGATCACGGGGAAGCTTCAAAGGCCGTAACTCTGAAAAATGGCCGTGAGTCCCTTTTTTTCAATGCTGTCATTTTGAACGGGCACTAAATGAACCGTTAAAGTCAAGGACTACCTGTATAGATTGTTCTTTCTCAAGCTGCTAAGAAGATTTTTAAAAATCACCTTTTTTTGTCTCTATAAATGCAAAACTTTGGTTGGCTGTAGCCACAAAATTGAAACTTGGGATGAATATAGCCGTTTTTGCCCAGGGTTTTGACGTAAGCGCTTGAAAAGGAAAATGGTGCACAGTGTCAGGATTCTGGCAGTTACCCCAATTAAATCATGAGCCAAACTTCCAAAACTTCAAAAGGATTTATTGACAGTTAATATGCCAGCAATGCCTGGGTGTAGCCGCCTCTGAGACACATCATTCATTGTCACCCTTGACCCTGATTTTTCCCCCACCCCCTGGGTGTATTGTAATTCATATTCTCCAATGGGACACGTCCATAGCCCAGAGTCATCAGTCAGGCTCTCCAGTTAGAATTTTGCATGGCAGAAACTTCAGTCACCTAGTTGCTATCTCTGAAAAACTATATATGGAATGCACTTTCAATTTCCAAGCTGCCGCACTGCTCTTCCAAAACCCGTTTCCCCTCTCCCTTTCTGTTGTCAACTCTAAAAAGACCATAGAAATATATTATGAGTTGACATCACGGTATGAAGTGTTTGGATGTATTAGTTGAGTTGCAAGACTATGAACGTTTTAAGAAAATAAACGCTTCAGGAGCTGTTCTAGACCCCATTTGCAAAAGGGTTGAAGGCGGGTGGGCCTTGCTTTAAGAACCACTCATTCAGACGCTCTTTGAAGTTGTGATGCATTGTGAATGTGGACCTTTGTGCGGCTACTGGGTGGGCGTTTGGCCTTTGGGTCCCTTTGAATCTCACCGCAAGCTTGTTTTCCAGGAGGGGAAATACAAGCGAGCAACGTTACAGTATAAGAAAACCGTATCGTGGCTGGAGCATGAAACCGGCCTGTCGGATATGGAGAAGTCACAATCCAGGAACCTGAGGCTCGCTGCCCATCTCAACCTGGCCATGTGCCACTTAAAGCTGAAAGAGTATTCTCAGGTCTTGGAAAACTGCAATAAGGTAAATTGGATTGAATGCTTTTGGGGGGACGTCCCGGATGAAATTTTGAATTTCTCGCCGTTTTTGTCTCCTGGAGCAAACCCATCCTGCCCCGTTTGCGATTGGGCCGGGCCTTCGGGTTGTCTTGTCCGACTGCTCTCCTTCGATCGTTTCAGGCGCTGGAATTGGACAGCAACAACGAGAAGGGCCTCTTCCGGCGAGGCGAGGCTCGCTTGGCCGTCAACGACTTCGAGTTAGCCAGGGCAGATTTCCAGAAGGTGCTACAGCTCTACCCAAGTAACAAGGCGGCCAAAGCCCAGCTCCTGATCTCCCAGCAGAAGATACGCGACCAGCACGAAAGGGAGAAAAAAATGTACGCCAACATGTTCCAGAGACTGGCAGACAAAGAAGCAAAGGTAATATTCTGTTCTAAAAATAGAATAGTACTAGCTCTGTACTCGTGCTTCGCTGTGAAATTACGTGATCGGGCTTAGTTTTTGGGGAGGAAAATAAGGGGAAAAAAATTCTCCCTCTGCCTACCAGCATCCAGCGGTATTCATCTGGCTAGCGTCCTGTCAGTGTGTGAGAGAGTTGAGGGCGGTTTGGAAACAGAGAGAGTATTTGCTGTTTGAGCAAGGAGACAGCAAGGAGCCTGGGCGTGGCTTAGCTCAACTGTTCTGTACTAAAGCTGCTTGGTGACGCTGTGAAACTGAAACTGTTCCCTGCTTGTGTTTTGCATTTGGAACAGATTTCTTTTTAGGTGGGGAGGTGGAGTAGAACTCCTTAGCATCAGAGCGTGTTTATAATAAGAATATAGGAAATTCTCTAAATGCTCTGAGGGTCATTTTGGAAAATCCTTTCTTAGTGAGCCCCTGGAAGCCAAGAGGAACCTACGGGCCAAATGTCAAGTTTGTAGGCTTTCCGGTTCTGGAGATTTGTGATGATGCGTATAGTGGTTATTTCTCCTTTTATACATATAGAAGAAGATAGAAGATATAGAATAGAATGAAGAATAGAATAGACTATAGAATAAAAAAGAATGAATAGAATAGTAAAGTAGAATAGAATAGAATAGAATAGAATATAGAATAGACCGTTCAAAGTGAAAAGTGACTTCTGACCATTGCAGCATTCCCATGGTTACAGTTGCTTTACATTCGGATGCTTAAGCAACCGGTTCACATATACGACAGTTGCAGCATCCCTGGGTCACTCAATCCCCTTTTCGCAACCTCCTGACTAGCAAGGTCAGTGGGGGGGTGGGGGAAACCAGATTCCCTTAACAACCATGCCACTAACTTAACAAGTGCAATTATCCACTTAAACATACCTGGCAAGAAAAGCCCTAAAATGGGGCAAAACTCACTCAGCCAATTTTCTCCCCATTTTTCTCGCGTAAATTTTGGGCTCAGCTGGGGGCCCTAAGTTGAGAGGTCTTACCTGTACAGGACAGACACAAACTGACTGCTACCTTGGGGAGGGGGAATAGCTGTCCTCTTGGGCCTTCCACCCTCTAAGGGAGAAAAGTCTCCATGGTGGGTAGAACTGTCACCGTCAGTGAAGTCCCAGGACTGTATTCACGCATTAAGGCCTGAGGTGATCTCTGGTTTTGCCAGTTTTGGTGCTCCTTCTAGCTCACCCCCCCTCAGCGTTGACGTCGCTGCCTTCCCTTTTGTTTCACGTTCGAGTCTGGAAGCCCTCCGTGTTTACACTGCCAACTGCTTCTCAGCCGCTCCTTTGTTGCAAAGGGCCAGCCTGTCATCAGATGCCCTGAGTTGCAGAGGTCACCTACCCCACTAGGTAACCAATAAACTGGTTAATCAATCACCCGTATATGCCCCATGATACGCACGCACACTGAAGGTACAGAGGAATAGAAATGGCTGCCTTTTCTGCAACCGTAATTTCATTCACCTGACTTAACCCAGGAATGTCTGTGGTCGAAGAGTCAAAGCCAAAAATGCAGCTTTGGAGTGTGTGTGGTGTGTACCTGATGCAACAGAGGCTTGCTTATTTCCTGGGGTTGCAAAGTGACAGCAGGAGGTCACGAAAATATTAACTTCGTTTAAGTTAATGAAGTTAGCGTATTTTCCTGGTCTGGTCCTGTCGCTTTGCAAACCCAGGAAATAAGCCTCTGTTGCTACTGACGGGGGTAAATGTATGTGTGTGTGCACACACACACACACACACACACACACACACACACACACACACACAATCACACATGCTCCAAAGCTTTTTATGAAAAGAGTCTCATTTCGGTTTTTCTCCTAATGCCTTTTTTTCCCCCCCTCTCCAGTTGGAATTGGATGCAGGATGCAAAGAAGAGGCCGACACGAAAGACAGCAAACAGAACGGTGTGGAGGAGAAAACAGAAGTTGACATAGAGATTTGAGGCTGAAAGTTGACCCGTTAGTTTTCTAAAACTGAAGAATTTCCAGTGAACTCTAGACCTTTATTTTTCTATCTGATTCGGTAAGGGGGCGACGGCTGGGGGCTGTTTAGCGTCTATATAGGAAATGGTGGCAGAACAGAGCCAAGTAATGTTTGATGTATTATTTATTCGGACATGCATCCTTTACTCTGTTGTTGTTGACCTTGGAAAGTTTCTGTTAGGATCCCTCTTCTCAGTTTCCTGGCATCTTTCTCAGGTTCCAGCTTGGCCTAATCAAACGTCACATTTTATTCCCCCTTCTTTACTTTACTTCCCCCCATCCCTTGTTTTTAAAAAGAAAAGTTTTATCTGCACATGCACACAGCTATTTGCATGAGGGGCCTAAATGCACCAGAGCTCCCCTTTCTGCTGCAGCCTTAACGTTCTCTCTTTGGGTCTGTCGACCTGGAGGCCCCTCTGTTCCGAGCAGGGATGGCCACTCTATTGGTAAGGGCTCCTCTTCTGCAGGAGAGGAAAGAAGCAGGGGAACCAAAGCTCAAGCGGTACATTCTTTAAAAAGTCTGGAGGCGGCAGTAGCCCTTGGACTCTAAATGCAGATATTCCTCCCCGCTCAACATCAGCAACACCCAGAGATACAAGTTCGATGAAAGGATATGTCTGCCAATGGCATCCACCACCCGCGGGAGCTTTGGCGTAAAGAGGACAGATCAAAGGGCAGGCAAACAACATCCGGCCAGGTCTTGTTGCAGGTTACAAAAAGGGTTGCTGCAGCGATATTAGCCGTTTCTGGGAGGAGGCTGCCCACATATGCCATAAGCCTTCGAACACCTGCCAGTTTGTAGGACATCCTTCTAGAGCAACCTGGTGGGGCCTACGGCAGGCCAGAAATTCGGGGACTTCCCTATTCCTCAACCCCTTTCCATTTAGCATAGAAATACCTAATCAAGGTAGATCAGGCGTTGCCACTAGGAGATTGGTCTGCATTTCCACAATTCCCTCGGAAGCCTGCCCACAGCTGCACGCCAACAGTTCCAGGTTTTGCTGAAAAGCTACTTGTTCACCCAGGTGGGAGAAAGGGAGGTCAGAAGTCCAGCAGCTCAAGAAGTCACAAGGGTGGTGGTGGTGGAGGGGGAGCGAGGGGAAAGGTCACTCATAATCCAAGCTATTGCAGGTCAAGGAAAGGAGCACAGAGGTCTGTTTTGGATATCTGATCGGAGCAGGTGGGTTGGGAAAGCAGGATCAGAATTTATGCTTCCAGCTCAGTCGGACTCTTGGAAAAAGCAGGATATTCGTGCCTCAGATAATTTGGAAGAAGGGCACAACCCTGGAGAGCCTGTGCTTGGGATGAGGTTTGAAGGGCGTCTTCCAAATGGTCATTGCCCTGTTTTGCTACTTTTGTGAGGTGTGGATAACACAAGGCTTGGGAGCTCTCTGGCTGGGACCTCAGAATATATTGCAGCCAATCCATGAATTTAGGAAGGGCAGCGAGGGATTAGGCCAAGGCAGTCGGGGGCCAGTGGGGATAAGCAGATCGAAGGCTGTATGCATTAAGTGGTAATGGCTTCTGAAAGAAAAGCAAACCCAAATGGAGTCATTTCATAATTGGCTTTTTAAAACAATTAATGCAACACCGCTCTGTTTTGCCAATTAAGCAGATTAAAACTGTTATAATCTCGACGGCGTGTATGTAATTACTTGGGGTGGGAAAACGGGTTTTTGAAACTTTCCCGTAAATTCAACCGCAAACGAAAACAAGAAAGGATTCCCTTGTCTTTTTAAGGTGCTGCTGCACCTGGTTGCAAGCATTCCCATGGATTCAGGGGAACTACGTATAATACGGAGAGGGGCGCTATATTGCAATTTAACTTGATTGTAGAAGGAAGGGAAGAATACACTCGGCAGACACAGTCCCTGTAGTTTCTTCTGTGGCACTCTGGGTTAAATCAGGATCCAAGAAGACCTTGACAGACTTGGAACAATGGGCCCTATCCAACATGAAATTTAATGTGGAGAAAAGATTTTACGCCTGGGCAGGAAAAACAAAAGGTATAAAGTACAGATTAGGTGAATACTGGCTCAAAAACAGGAACCATGAGAGGGACTTTAGAGTCCTAGTGGATGATTGCTTAAACATGAGCCAGACATGTGCAGCAGCAGCCAAAAAGGCTAATACAATCCTGGGTGGTATAAACAGAGGCTTAGAATTAAAATCACGCGTAGTATTCATACTGCTTTATATAGCTTTAGTTAAGGCCACTGCTGGAAGACTGCATCCAGTTTTGGTCACATTACAAAAAAGATGAGGAGATTTTGGAAAAAGCGCAGAGAAGAGCAACTAAGATGGTTAAAGGCCCGGAGAGTAAAGCATACGAAGAAGGGTTGCAGGGTTTGGTTTTGGCCAGTCTAGAGAAAAGGACTAGGGGGAATACGATAGCAGTATTCCAGCATTTGAGGGGCTGCCCCAAAGAAAAGGGGGTCCACTTATTTTCCAGAGCACCAGATCTGGACAAGGAACAATGGATGGAAACTCAACAAGGAGAGAAGCAACCTGGAATTAAGGAGAAACTTCCCAATAGTGATGACAATTAACCAGTGGAACAACCTGCCTCCAGAAGTTGTGGGTGCTTCTTCACTGGAGGCTTTTAAGAAGAGACTGGACAGTCGGTTATCTGAAATGGTCTAGGTAGGATTTCCTGCTTGAGCAGGAGGGTTGGACTAGATGACCTACAAGGCGCCAACTCTGCTATTCTGTATTCTGAGTGCCATGCAAGGTGCTGATCAGACTCGGTTTATTGCTACTATTGGGATTAAGGGAAATCGAACCCAGAGAGCAAGGGGCTCAAGATGGCCCCAAACTGCTGAACCTAGGCCAATCCTCTCCCGAGAGCCCTGCTTCTCCATCAACCCAATTTAGGGGTCTGCAGAATCCCCCCCCCCCCCAAAGTAGACCCCCAAGCACCAGAGGACCTAACCAAACTGCTAAAGCACCTCCTGTATTCATCCTTCCCCGCGTGCGCCAAGCATCTCTGGCTTCTTCTGGAATAGCAGCAATATCTTGGAATAAGGGGAACGTTACAAATCGAACGAGGAGGCCTCTGTCCAGACTTTTCTTTACTGAAACTTTCCTTAAAAGCCCGTAACTAACAAGGGGAAGAAAATAAGAAGTAACACAAGATTCATCCCAACGATATATTTACACATATACACGTAGACGTTTACATGCACAGCCGTGCATCTTTCATCTTCTAAGGAAAGAGGGAGCATGATATAATAGCAATAGCATTTAAAAAGACTTATATACCGCTTCACAGCCCTCTTAAGCGGTTTTACAGAGTCAGCCTCTTCCTCCCCCCACCCAAAAAACAAAAAACCAATCTGGCTCCTCTTCCTGACCTCGGAAGGAGGGAAGGCTGAGCCAACCTTGAGCCACTCAGGATCAAACTGCTGGCAGTGGGCAGAGTCAGCCTGCAATGCCACACTGTGCCACCAGGGCTGATAAATCTTCCGTTGTGAGCGGCTCGTTCCCGATGATGCACCTGCAGGACTGGAACAGAGTCCCAATGAGCATGCCCAGAGTGCTGGAGATGGAAGTTTCTTCGTGGCCGAGAGACTATTTAAATTACTTTCTTGGAAAAGTATAAGGTCTTGTGAATCAGATCTTTGACAGCCGAAACGTCATCTTTGGCTATGAAAAAAGGGGGAAGACACACTGTTAGTTGAGAGAGGCACTCTACATGGCACCAAGGAAAAGTACTGGTAGTCCTCAACTTACAACAATTCATTTAGTGACCATTCAAAGTTACAAAACGGGACTTATGCCCGAGTTACAACCTTTGCAGCGTCCCCCAATGATTATGTGTGATCAACAGACGCCTGGCAACTGGCTCGTATTTATGACGGTCGCAGTGTCCCTGGGGTGACCCCCTTTTGTGGCCTTCTGACAAGCAAAGTCAATAAGAAAGTAGGATTCACTTAACATTACTAACTTAACTGCAGTGATTTGTGATAAGTGGCAACCTGTAATAATATAACCATCTCTACGCACAAATAGGGAAGGTGGGATGGGGTGGATATAAGGTTTTTTTTCCGCAATTTGCAGACTCCTCGTGGCTTCAGGTGATCCATAGATTCCCATGGATTTCTCCAGTGTATGGAAATCCATGCTCGGGATTAGTTCAAAAACCTAGTGGATCACTGCCCCAGGATTTCTCATTTTAAAAAAAATTCGGAATCTTCACAATGCTTTAATCTGTCAAAAAATTATCTCGATAATTAGGAGGAACGTCTAAATAATGAAGGTGACAGTAAGATGGCTGCACAGGCATACTGAACTAAAGCAAAAAATAAAATCAACAGAGTCCCCTTCTCCATCACAAATAACCCTGCCTTAAAAAGATGGAAAGTTCAGCTGTTTTTAAGGGGAATAAATAAAGATGGTCCAGGAAACCAGCCTCCAGGAAATGATGCCAGGATGTTGATGATAACTCTTCGTTACAGCCGTGATGTCTGACGTTACAATCCTCGGGGCATCTCTGATAATAAGTGAAAAGATCCTATATCTTATCTCCCCCCCCCCCCCCCCAAGTCAGCTACTGGATAGTTGCTCGGTGAAACCCTAGTAAAAACCACAAAGAAACCTACTCTGGTAGAAACCACAAAGAAACCTACCTACATCCAGCCGAAGCAGGAGCTCTCCGCATTCTAAATTATTTTCTAGCGTCTTCAGCAAATTGGTGGACTCCATCCTTTCTAACTGGATGTCCCAATAGATGTAGATCTTCTGGTTGAAACTGACGTAGACCAGGCAAGGGCTGTTATAGTCTCCTTTACAAGAATAGAAGCCTGGAGAGATTGCTAAAAGTGTTAAAAGCAGAAGGACCGCCAGAATTCGAGACCAAAAAAATAAAAAAAAATAAAAATCTGATGACCAGGCCTGCCGAAATCCCCAAACAACTTTACAAATCCTGTGAGGCCACCAAGCGAATGTGTCATTTAATCTAGAAATATATAGCTGGTCCACCCACAGGAGCTGTCAAAACACGGGGCGGCCTCTCTATTCTGCAGAAGCAGACCATTAAGAAAGAATCTGAGTGGGAAGAATCAATCTGCCATAATTCAACTGTACACAATGGCTGGCAGCTGCAAAGGCATTTCCCCCCCCCCCCCCCGAAAGAAATTTCTATGGAGGATGTAAAGTTTGGGGCGGAAATGTCCCATTCCTTGATAATCAAGGGTAAATCTGTCTTCAGAATGCATGCTGCCCCAATCCTCAAAATCAGCCGGAAGGGACCTTGGCGGACCTGCGAGTTAGAAAATGGCCAGGGAGTTGCTCACCGGCACAGAAGGCGCTGACGTTTTCATCCACTTGGAACCTGGCCACTGTCCGGTTGTGATCGATGATGTACGTCTGTCCATCCCAAGCGCAAGCAATCACCTCCTCATAACCGTTTCCCTAAAAGGGAAGGAAACTTCCTTAGAAAGAAGTCACCTGTCAGAAAGGCAGCCATGTTCTCTCTCTCTCTCCCCTTTTCTCTCCCTCCCTGCCTTCTCTCTCCCTCCCTCCTTCTCTCTCTCTCCCTGTCTCTCTCTTCCTGTCTCTTTCTCTGTCCGCAACACCCGAGTCGGGGAACGCATCAAAGGCAGCAAGAGGCAACGACATTTGTAAATCAGACGGTCTCAGCTGTTAAAAGAGAGGAGGGCAGGACTATAGCTTCAAAAAGGCCAGGGGCCAGGCCAGGTGCAGGCGGGGAAATGAATAGAATATTGATCTCCTGAGGGATGCTGCATCGGTCGTAAGTGCGAAAAATGGTCATTCGTCACTTTTATCAGAGATGTCACTCTGAATGGCCACGAAGTAAACTCTTGTAAGTCAAGGATTAACCTACACAGAGGCATCGTTATCTCAAGAAAATGATACCTAGAACTTTACAAAGGCTTTTTTTTCTTCTGATTTCTCACTGAGAGATGGTTCTCTTGACAGTCCTTCCGTGGCCTGGATACACCTTGTTTGCCCCAAGTGTGCTGGTCAGCTAGGCACAAACTTACCGTGACGTCCAGTTTTTCCAGAGCAAAAAGTTGATGGTCCACTTGTACAGACCACAGCAGCTTGTCTGCTCCTTCCATGAGCTTCAGGGTTCCTGGAAGGGTGGGGGGGGGGGGAAGAAAACCCCACCTTAATAGCGTTTCAACTATTAAGCTGTAGGGAGGGATCCTTGGGAGGAGCAGGTCCAGGCAAGGCTCGTCCCAGCATCTTGATGTCAACTCATAAAATATTTCCAGGATCTTTTTAGAGTTGCCAACAGAAAGGGAGGGCGGGGGGAGAAGTGCAGCAGCTTGCAAAACCGAAAAGCGCATTCCACAAATGTTTTCAGAGATAGTAACAAGGTGACCTACGTTTCTGCCGTGCAAAATTCTAACTGGAGAGCCTGATCGATGACTCTGGGCTATGGACGTGTCCCATTGGAGAATATGAATTACGATACACCCAGAGGGTGGGGGGAAAACCAGGGTCAAGGGTGACAATGAATGACGTGTCTCAGAGTCGGCTACACACAGGCAGTGCCGGCATGTTAACTCCCAATAAATCCTTTTGAAGTTTTGGAAGTTTGGCTCGAGGCTCATGATTTAAATGGGGTTAAGTGCCGGAATCCTGACACTTGAAGTGTTTAAACCCTTGGTAGGCTGCTATGGGAATGCCAAGAAGGGCAGGTTATATAAATCAGGTGTCCCCCCCACCCCCGTGGACCATGGCCAGCTGTCACGCAGTGGCCTATTCGCAACCAGGCTGCGCAAGTGGAAAATGGGGGCGGGTGGCGGCGGCAGAAAACAAGAAATCGCGCACATGTAAAGCTTAGGCAAGTGAAGGAGAAAAAACCATGGTCCTTATCTGCTACATTCATCTACGCGCATAATTCAACCGTTGTGGATTGGGAAAACATTGTATTTCTTCAGGAATATCCCATTTTTAGTTTGGGGAAAGCGTAATATCGAGACAGTTTTGGTTTTAAGAGACAACTGAATTGCGATTTTTGCACCAACCATGTGAAAAGCTTGGATACAGCTGCATCTCTCTCCCTATCTCCATCCTCAGTCCAAGAAAATCAAGACTTACCATCTAAAGTGCAGAGTGCGAACAGACCCAGGCCTTTGTGCTCCTTCGAACAACCTGCAGAGGGAAAAAAGAAAAATGCAAGAGGCAGGTTAGGAAAGTTCGCCCTTTACTGAGGGCACATGTAACAGAGACAAATTCCTTGTGTGTGTCTCCAATCACACCTGTCCAATAAAGAATTATTTTTATTCTTATTCTACTCTACCCTACCCTACCCTAATTGTACCCTGTTTGAAGGACCTTTTTCTGCTGCACTGTAAACACAGACGTGTTTAGGTGTGTTTACAAGACACATTTTGTTCTTTTGTGATACGGAGCCACGCTATGACATGAAGGACTCCCAGGAATTGATTTGGGGCAAAGAAGCTAATAGCTAGAATGTGTTCACACAAGCGCAACAAAACATATGGAATAGATCAGGAAAATATATGAAATAGCAAGCAAAAAATTATTCTATTCTATTCTATTCTATTCTATTCTATTCTATTCTATTCTA